CCCCGCATTTTTTTTTAAATACAGTTCGAATTTTGCTCGCCCGTTCGCGCCGCTCGTCGGAATCTCACCAGGTCAAAGGACGTCGGTAGACTGTTGCGTGGGTGAGTCGCGTGTAGCTGCCATCGTCACAGCATAGTTTTAACAATAATACTACGTGACGCACGAGCGAAACAGAAGAATCGTGCGCCTCGTCTCGCCGCTCGGTTGATGTAACGATGTCGGGGGCAACCGTGACGGGCGCGGCCTTCCGGAAGCGACCGGATGTTGAACGAAGTCCATTACAAGCGGTAATCCTCCGCACGAAATCGCGTCGCATAGAGTTCCTCGAATTCGACAGAAAATCGTCAAGTCAGGCGCTGTCCATTTGCCACGACAGGATGATTCGACAAATTTAATAATCAATCGAGCGATTAAATGAAAATACGGCAGGACTTTGTTATTATTATTTGTACTACTAATAATATCACTAGTTGCTATTTATGTTACTAAGAAAGCTCAATCAATGGCGCTCTGTTGAAAAAGAATATCGCTCCTCTATTTCTTGAAATTGATATAAATGAAAATTACAGCAAATTTTGAGAAACCTGTCCACTCGCCACGACAAGATGATTCGACAAATTTAATAACTAATCGGGCGATTAAATAAAAACCACGGCAGGACTATTATTATTATTATTATTTGTACTACTAATAATATCACCAGTTGCTATTTATGTCACTAGGAAAACTCAATTAATGGCGCTCGGTTGAAAAAATACCGCTCCTCTATTTCTTGAAATTGATATAAATGAAAATTACAGCAGATTTTGAGAAACATGTAAACGATGTGCGCGAAGCGTGTTTATTTAATGAATTAAAGGTCTGAAAAATTGCAAGCTCATTTATCTTGTATACCGCTTACGTAACGTCGCTTCGTGCAGATTTCATCTATCTTCCGCTTAATTTCTTATCATCTACTACATTTTAACGATCCTATCGGGCGCGTCGTTCACAGAATAGATCGCAATCGTGCCATTGAGATCTCGGTGCCTCGGAAAATTCTTATAACGTCGCGCGTCGCATTTCTGGGCCAACGAGGATACGAGAAGAGCAGATAAAAAAAATTTTAATTAGGAATGTGTGCAGAGGCAGAAAAAAGGACATCGCGTCGCAAAACACCGGGCATTGCGGTTTCAATTTGATAGCTTGTATGGATTATCGCGCATTCATTCGCTACTCCACTGCCGCGGTTGCTCGTTGACGTAGGCTGACGATGCCACACACCATCGCGAAACTTTATGACAATAGATCGAACGGGCACGAATAGCCGGCAGGAAGCGCTCCTCGTCTGATTTGTGTGAATGGGTGTGCGTGCGACCGTGTGTTTTGCTCTCTGCCGTACATTGCACGCAGGTAACGAAGCGGATCGCCCCGCAGCCCCGTATCTATGACGCATGTGTGTATGTGCAAAGTGTCATAGACTCGCCACATTTTCCGTCGTCTCCTGAATCGTTCTGAATGCTCTTTCGTTAATTTCCAACAACTTTGCGAAATCTCGCAGCCCGTCGTCTCGGAATATTACCGATTGTAATACGGCCGGTGTTAGAATTATCTTACAATTAGCTCTTTTTCTCTCGGCCATTCCTCCGTTACTTTTTTTTATCTCGTGACGTTCATTAAAATCCAAAACGGAACTTACGGAATTTCAAGACTCCGAAGCTGCCAAGTGATAGATGATAAAAATGTCTTACTTTTTGCGATTAATCTCAAATGGATATCTCTTCGGCGGAAGTTTACCGTGCGCTCATTACACAAAGATATCCGATATGAAAAATTAATTCGCGAAATATTCGTGCGTCTGAAAAATTCAAGGATAAAGCGAGATACACGGCGAGGCCGGGTCGCGCCCAGGTATTTTTACACGGGAGACGGAGAAAAAGCGAAAAAAAAAAGAAACACAGGCGGCGAGTCGATCGATTCGATTATTCGTGCGCTTAGGATTCCCTCACGGTATCGGGAGCGCGTTCGAATGCGCGACACTGCTGAATAAAGTGACCGAAGTGTCGCTTCCGGTGGCATTTTTCCCCTTTTTTTTCCAAAGGTGCGCCGCACAATAACGATAACGATAATCACCGACCACGCGAGCGGTCGCGTCTTACTTTACATTCACGGTGTATTACGCAATAAAAGCCGGGGGGGTACAGCTGAGAGAAAATTGCAACGAGGCACGATTGCGTATCGATGTTCTCCGATCTCGGAGGTGTCTCGTCGTTTCGGTCGGCGAATAAGGCGGATTTAGTCACGGGCTTAGTTTTAATTTACGAACGATCCTGGACAAACGTCGGTCGAATCCGGCAGATAACGCGCGATCGAGAGACCCGACTCGGGCGAGTACTGACGCGTGATAAGGTCCACCGATCTAACTCGCAGTTTACAATGTATACGCGATGTATGATTTGACACGCATCGTTGGGTCGCGAAACAACGGCAGACTCCGCATTCGTGCGATACCAGCGGCTGTGCGCGGTGGATTAATTCAGTTTTGTCTAACGCTGGTCCCATCGGGCATTCTATTTTCGCGGCGGCTTCGCTCGTCGGTTCGACAGAAAAGTCGTGAGATTCGGCGGCCAGGGGTGCTCGTCGCGCGGCCAGCCCGGCGTTCGAAATTGAAGTAATTAAAACCCGGGTACGCGGGGGCCAGGAAAGTTGGCTATTGTCAGTCGGGAGCGTGCGCCTTGTTAAATTTCTCGGTCGAGCGGGATCCTTCGTCGCAAGTGGAGCGAAACGGATGGCCAATGGCCAATGATGACTCTAAACTCTCTCTTCGCTCGCTCTTTTCCCTCCGTCGAGCCACCCGCCGGTTCGCATTCGGTGCGCTTCCGATTCCCTTTCTGTCTCCTTTTTAAAAGCTCCTCTTTCCCTCGTTTTCTTTTTTCTCGTAAAGTTCGTGACTCACCGGCAGTTCTCTCTCGTAAAGGGGTTAAAAAAAAGGAACAATAAGGGATGTATCTTTCAAGTTCGAGATTTTTCAGCAGTATCCTCGTTAGTATCGGAGTGACTGAACAGTTTTGCTATTATGAGTGAAAAATACGCTAATTTGTCCTTCTTCGAATCAGTTATTCTAGAGGATTTCTTTCTAGAGTCGTCTTGTGAGAGGACTCGTTGCCAATATTAAATATTTTAATTATTAGCACTGACGATTATCCAATGTAACGTAATCTATTAATCTGCGATGAATTCTTTAATCTTTCAACTAGCCATACCTTCGAGTCTCACGTCGTCACTTAAGAATCGTGAATATCTTTGTAATTAGAGACGCGATAAGGGCCAGGCAGGGCGTAGTGTTTGACCGGCATTTAAAAACCTCCATCTGACGAAAGAAGTCAGTTGGAAAACGTAACGTCTGAGGAAAACGGGTTAATCTCGTATTTTTCGGCGCGCCATCTAAATGCCACCGTGCGTGCAAATATTTAATGCGAAACGCGCGCGCGAATAATGCTTCGCGTTCCGTGCGCGCCGGGATGCGGCGTACACGCAAGGGGAAAAAAGTTAGACAAATATTAAAAGCAAACAGAAAAGAACTGGATTCGAAGCGCGTGGCAAACCCCGCCCGACCGGCGCGTATCGTTCTCTTGAATCTGGACCTTTTCCTCCCTTTCTCCTCTCTCTCTCTCTCTCTCTCTCTCTCTCTCTCTCTCTCTCTCTTCCACCCTCTCCTTCTCTCGTTTTCCGATCCGTATCCTCGAGGCGAAAAATCCCCGGCTACGATTTTAGCCACGATGTCAGCCCTGATGCCTCGTTGCCTCGTAATGACTCTTTGCTCGTTGACACGATATAATTTGAATCGCGGTATTCCGCGGAAAAGCGAGAAGGAAATTATGGCGGGGAGATACGTCGTAACAAGGAAGATGCATCGCAAACGAGACGAGCTTTACTTTTCTCTCTCTCTCCCTCTCTCTTTTTTCTTCTCGCTGCCGCCGGTTCCGCGGGTCTAAGGCGCGTTTTCTGTCGTAAGCAGAAGCACTGTCAGGACATCCGGCGTCCGTGATACGTTTCCAATATTTCATCGGCTCGTTTGCGTTATTTCGCTAGACAACTCGTCGATGCGAGATCGTCGGCTCTATAGTTCAGCTTCAGGTATCCACCCCCGCTTTTTATTCCCCATTGTCACTTTATTTCTCTCCTTTTTTTTTAAACAGGGAGATCACTTTACATCATTACCTATGTTTGGAAAGACGTTCGACTCGTTAATCGAAATCGCGAGGTGTCGAAAGTGTCAAGCGCCGCAGGGCACTTTTGTCTGCAACGTGAAAAGAGACGTGCGTTTTGCGGATCACTTGTCTCTTGCATATTGATAAGAGATTATTATTAATGAACGGAAATAGCATTATTAACATTACAGTTATTACGTGCACGTATTTAATGGAGTTCAATGCAATGAGACTTGAGTGATCGATAATTGATGCAGCGAAATACAGTATTAGTCGACGCGCCGCGTTGCCAATGAATTAATTTGTCGTGTGTATGTGCGCGTGCACTTGTATATATATATATATAGTGCGTGAGAGGGCGGGAGAGAGGGGGGCAGAGGGGGAGGGAGACAGAAATCGGACTGTTAATCCAATCTACACGCCAAATCAGGAATAATGGCCCGGTAACCGTTCGCGCCTTTTAATGATCCATACATTTTGATTCGAGGTAGGGACCCGGCGAGAAACTTGATTTCTACGTTACGTACGGACGGGCGAAACGCGGCGATCATTAGCAGAAAATTAGGTCTCGTAATTGAACGTTTGTCGAAATTTCCCCGGGAATTGTTCGCGATTGAAGCGTCCACGGCGGCTACACGGAGGTTAACCGTTCGCCGCATACAGGAAATGGGCGTCCTGCGCCGTGTCATCGTGCGGTCGTATCGGTTACACGAGCGTATTTGGGCGCCAGTATGCAGGCGCGATGGCGGGACTTTGAGGGCCTATCGACAAAATCTTTCCACGCGGCCATCTCTCTCCCGTTTCTGTTAATTATTCGTCGAACGACGAGTCGGGACTTTGATGGGCGCCGCGGGCTTTAAAGCCGCCAATCTGCTCGACGTTCAACTCTGGATGCGCCTCGTCGTCGACGGTGGTCATTGCACTTGACGCATTCGAAATCTGAAAGTATAACGACGAGATAGAGCAAGTACCCAATAGTTTTATTTCGCTGCGAGAGAATTATCCGAGCGAACTCACTTTCGAGCGTTCGCTGGACCATTTTGCGAATGCCCTGACGCTCTCAAGATCCATTATGTCCCTCCAGACCACATCCATCGTCTCTAGATCCGTCATTACGTTCTCGCACCGGAGCCATCTCTCTCTCACCCGATTTCTGGGCGGCACGAATCGGAGCTCCCAGGGTATCGCGGTGCCAAACGCCATTGTCTTGGCCGGCTTACTCTCGGCTTTGGCATCTGTGATCAGATGCTTCTTGGTCATGGCAAGCTCACCTGCATCAGGACATTGTCTTGCTGCGGCAACCTCGTTGGGCACCATCGGCATTTGCCTGATCGACATCTACATCCAACACAATTGAATACTTAATTCTCTCATCTTCATCCATCGCGACGTTAAACAGTTTCCTTCCCGCCACGAGTTTCCGTTGCGAGCGTACGAATTGCGAAAACAATTTTGTAACAATTAGACCTCTATCGTTAATTTTCGCGAGTAGCGTCGGCCTTGTTTTCCTCGAGAGGGAAAAGATTACTTTCTCCACAACCCCGCGATTCGATGGGATTTTATTCGCGAGACACGAACGCGCAATCAGGTCAGCCTTCCAGCATCGCGTTGAAGTTATAATTCAAATCCCGCGTTGCGCGGTTCACCGCTCAAAGTGCGTGTTACCCATTGTTACATCATGCATCGCATTATGATGTTACGCCGTTGCAGAACTATCGCGTGCGCGCGCGAGAACGCGTTCACGGGAGGGCGATACGCTGTGCGCCCATCTGTATTTCATTTCCATCTGTACCTCCATCGTCCTGCTGGCGTCGGCCGTGAAGTCAATTTCGAACATATCTCCGAGGATCTCCTCGTCGATGACCCTGTCGGTGCCGCCTAAACTGCGCAGCCACTCGCAGAAGTCACGGCATATCCTGTCCGTAATATTTCTGGCTCTCATCTCAAGCGTGGCCTCGGGATCGTAGCCTTTGAGATCGGCCGCCGTTAAAGGACGCCAGGTGACTACCTGTGTGTGTGTGTGACAATCGGTGGGCTTCGGTATTAAGAAACGAGAACTTACGTCGCGCGGAGCCGCGAGAGGATCTCGCGCGAGGCTGATAATATTATTTCGCGCTGTCGTACCTTGCGCCGCGGTTTCCTCAAAAAGAGAGCGTAAGGATTCGATCTGGCCTGACCTACTTTATGCTCATCTCCGCTCGTCGAAATGTCTCTGGTCGTCGGGGGATGCACCTGCGGGCGTATAAAAGCTTACTCTCAACTAATAACTCGCGAACGGACAAAGCGGACTGTCTCCGAGCAACGATAGAATTCAGAGTATTAAGTGAGAGACTTATTTCTATTCTCGACTTATATAATCAATTTATTTAATACAGAAAAATGTGTAACGTAGCGAAACTGCCATTTTTAGTTTTGGCTTTTATTAAAAGAAATTTAATTCAAATCATAGGCATGGCAGCATACAATGCACAAAATTGAAAAGTCATGGTGAGATTCTTCATAAAAAGTGAATCTAAGTTTATTATAAAATTTATTATCCGGTAGTTGTCCAGCGTACGTACAATTAAATCGAAAGGAATCTCGCTTTCCGTTTCTTCTTCCTCCCTTTCTTCCTCTTCCTCTTCCGTTTCGTAATGCACCGCAGCTTCTACTTTTCTTGCGGCTCTTTTCGGGTACCAGGCCGGCATGCCCAATAATGGGGCGACGAGATTGTAGGAATCGAGCGGCAGGATACGTCTCAATAGACGGGAATTGCAAGCGGGAGGCTGTTTCGCGGAGAAAACAAGGTCAGATGGGAATTTATCAGGGCTCAAATAACGCTTCGAATCCGCCAGCAACTTCGTTAATCTCGCGGCTAGTTTAGCGCGTTTTTTTATCGCCGTCGCACCGGCGGCGTCACATTGTTTTATCACCCGCGAAGTGAACTCGTTCGCCAGGCTTTCCAACACGGTCGCGGTCGACGTATCTCCGCGATTTGCTTTCTCTAAAAATCGCGAGATTTCGGCGACTGTCAGCAGCGGTAATTCCGCGCGCCTCTCCGCTCTCGTCGAGTCGGAGGAAGTCGACCCTTTCGCGGAATCTATCTCCTCCAAGGGGATTACCTTTCCTCGCCCGTCTTCCGCCTCGCCTCGAGGAGTCTCCAACGTACGTCTCGTAGAATCCTTCGATAAATCCTTGATGCTCGCGCAACTGTATCCCCTCTTCAGCTCGTCCTTTCGCGCAGATTCTACGATTGGCGATATCAGCTGTTGCTGCGACTTAACTTTCAAGAGGGCTCCCGAGGTCCTCGGGGACGCGTCCTTGTGCTCGTCAGTCTTTTCAGGCTTCTCACCGGTGACTTTCGACGGCGGCCTTTCCTTCGTTGTCTCCGCGGTTCTCTCTTCGTCGTAAGATTCATCGTCGGACTTTTCCTTCGTCGACGTCGCGCTCTCCATTAGAGCGATCCGCGACTCCATGGTAGTCGGCTGCCTGTGCCTCAGGGCCCGCAGGGCTTCCATGCTGGGTAGTAAGACCGTGGGTAGGTGACAGGGTGCCATATTTTTGTATTGGGACGGATCGTTGTCCAGCGCCAGCGGGGACGACGTTTCGTCGTCGGAGGTGTGCGCTTCCGAGGACGAAAGTTTTGATCGTTCGATATCCGACGATATCGAAATCGAGCTGGAAGTGGCTTTCAAACTCTTTGGATCTTTCGATAGCAGACTTTCCATGGATTTCGGTGTTTTATCCTTTGAGTGATTTGGATCGATCTTTATCAAGACCTCGGTGTCTCCCTGCTCCACTTGAAGCGACGGCGACGCCGATTTGCTTGACGCATCCTCAACCGTTTCCGGATACCTCGGAATTCCTTTTCTCTGGGAATACAATATCTTTTGCAATTCCTCGCGAAATTCCGAAAGTCCGCCGGAGCTGGACTCGCTGTCGTCTTTCGCTTCAATTTCCGTTAGCGACGTCGCTCGCGGCAGGACAGCGTCGGTTTCGCTCGCCTTCCGCAGGGATTTATGCATGCAGGATAAGCACCTGTCGCGGTTCCTGCGTCGAAAGCACGACACCCTTGGAATGGCATCTAGGAAATACGCCGAACGGTTTTCCCGGGTTTCGTACTTAGCGAACTTCGTGCTGAAGGCGGACCTCGCCAACGATTTCGCGGGGGCCATAGAGGATTTGCCGGAGTCCGACTTTAACAGCTTATATTTAACGCCCTGCTCTCCGATATTCGCGGCCCACGTTTCTCTCAATCTTCTTTGCATTTCGCGGAAGAAAGGACATTCGGGGCTGCGGATCCCGGATTCAGGACTTTCGCTCTCGGCGACGTCTGACTTGTCTGTATCTACTATTGATCTGTCGGATGAAGCGCGCGATCTCACCGACGTATCCTCCCATACTTCGGGCTTAAAGTTCAGGTTTTTGTTAAGCGTCACGCGCTTCAGGGCTTTATACGCGCACCGTTGCGAGTAATTCAACAAGTCCCGCGTTCTGTCATCGACTCTCCGCTTTAATTGCATTTGAAGATTAGTCGTACCTTGTCATTCTGATTCATCGACGTGCTTTTCCCCAATTTTAGGAGCCCGTAAACTCGACGATTTATCTGTTGCTCCGGCAGATATTGCTCTATCTTGAGATTGAAACGATTCTAGAAATGATACGATTTTTAAATCCTTCGTGATCTTCCTCTCTTTCGACTTCTTACCGAGAGAAAATTCAAATTTCGATGCCTGAGTGTCAGATATAAAGTTGCGTTGCTTATCCAGTATATAATCTTTCTTATATTCCGATTTGACAGTTGCAATTTCACTTGTGGTTAAATCAATAGCATTATCCGGATAATGGTCCAACTTCTTTCGCGGAACAGTAACTCTTTTAACCTTTCTGCCTTTGATGGAAGTTGACTTGCTCTTATCTCTATCATATTTAGACGTATCCTCCACATGCGGCAATTTGTTCAATTTTCCCCCCGGCGACTCGCTTGCTCGCGGGTCTTCCGTCAAATATCTCTCGATATCGTCGTCGAAAATTTTCACCGGGGGTTCGTGTCTGTGAAAGGGACACGTCCTCTTTGAATACACCCTTCCATCTCTCGATCCGTCATGTGGTATGATAGAATTTTTGGTAGGTACATCAAGGGACTCCGATTCTTTATACGAATATGTATTTTCGATCGTGGATTTATTCTGAATAGGAAAAAAGTCGCATTGTTCCTCCGCGTACGCTATGGCATTGTTTCTCGACGATTTCTTTAGCGGTGTGGGAGGAGAGATCTTAACTATTGGCTCTCTTGCGTTAGAGGGAACATTCTCGTTGTTCCTTCTTGTAGAAATATCTGGTGCCGCGGAGGATTTCGGATCTACGAGAGGTACGTTCTCATCGAAGCCTTGAGGTACGGAAGAATCGTTAAAATTTATAATGTCGCGAAGATCTGTCTTAAAATCGCGCAAAATAGGAATAATAGGAAGATGGGATGATGTTGGAAAAGACTCTCTTACTCTAGTCAACCTTTCTTCTTCATCGTCGCAAAATTTCTGCCAATACTCCTTTGATTTAGGAAAAGGACGTTCCCATCTAAAGCAAGGTTATATACAATATCACACGTGACAAGAAATTATAATAGTATTAATTTATAATAGCAACAATTTAGCAAGAAAAAAATGTTTAACGCATATAGACTTATTTCATGAACTTTTTCTGCAGTGAAGTGCCTAATGAATGAATTAATAAGCGACCTAATTGATAGTAAAATTTATCTAACGTTTAAAAAGTGCATTCATGGTAAGTATTTAATAGTTTTATATTATTCGTATTAGTCAACGTACTTCGTTCCCTCAATAACACGTAGCTTTTGCGTTAAATAACGATGTTTAGGCTGCTTCAGTCTTGATGGATGAGACATGTTGAGCAATTTTACGGTATTTTGCACACCCGCGTAATAGATCGATGAGTTTGTTGTACTGATGTAATTTTTTATATTTAATTAAGTCGCGACTGCGTTCCCGGCATCCCGTGATTGCCGATATGGAGTACTGAAGGTATTTAATTTCGTTATCGATCAAACAAATTCAGAGCATAGCGCAAATGCCGCAAACATTAGTCCCATGACGAGCTTCTGCGAACCAGGAAGAGATGGTGGTACTTTCCTCTGAAGCTCGTATATTGATCGCGTACACGCTCGAGTTCTGTACCATCGACTGACGCTCATCACGTTCGGTTTGGGTCCCTTTTCGTCCTCTGAACGTAACCACGTTTCCAACGCGCGACGACCGAATTCGTATCTATCGCAGATAATATCAAAGCGCTAAATATTTACCTGAAAAAGATTCACGTGAGTTTGCTGGTGTACTCAAAATCTGACGAATATTCCACGAGATGTCTTCACTATTTAAAGTCTGCGCTTTACACAGAAATAATTGATTTGTACAGTTATAATATATGTATACAGTAAAGAACACTCACAGATTGGAGCTCACTATACAGCAGATATTCACATTTACATTTTATACACCACATACATCTATTCGCGAATAATCATTCAACAAACGATTGAAAAAAACGGGAGCAAGATATAATCAAATAAAAATGAAGAATAAAATTCACATCGTATTTCCTTTCTAAGTCCGCAGAATAATACACAAAACGTAGTAACAGCCACGGAACAAAGTAATGTAAAATATTAAGTACGGAATTTTCCATTACGTAGGCGGGACAACGAATTCTCAATGTTTTTTTGTTGTTTTTCACTCGGCGCTGTATCGTACGACGTTACGCGGGCCAATGTTTACCTGAAGGTCGCTGCGCTATCAGTCGCTCGCCGAACGTCGAGCCGGCAAGCAGTGGCGAGAGTCGCTCCGTGAGTGTTATTACTTTTCCGTTATCGGCTTCCAAGACTCGATCGCGATAAACGCAGGGATAAAACACTATTAATTTGCACACCTTCATTAGCAACAAGTAACGTTCCTTGACTAATTATTAAATTTCGACAACTTGTAACGAGAAACGGATTGCATGTTGAGGCGACGGATCTTTATCAACGTATACATATTTCACGAGACTAACTCGTCTAAAATTTGAATGTGAACCGTGGTATTTTGTCGCGGTTACATCTCGTTTACGCACCGTGCTTTTAATTGTCTATCGATTTCGTGTAATCTGTTCCATTTTCGGGAAAAGAGAGAAATTTATGCGACTTTCGCATATTATTACCGCAGAATATGCCTCCGATGTTCGCGTTGCGTTTTGTCATTTCTGTTTTAATATAAATGGAGCAGGATAGTTTAACCTTATTTTCTATCTATACATCTACAAAAACATATACACATGCAATATAGATTCTCTAGAGTTTAATAAATGCAATGATCGCTTTTACTTTTATAATTAATCTTTTTGAAGTTTAATATACAAACATCAGTGGCGTATTGATTGTACACACAATTTACATCATATTTTGAGTACTCTGGCGAAGGTGTGAATCTTTCCTAGATAAATAATTGGCTCGATAATTGTATAGCTCTTCGGTATTGTCCGCGACAGACGCAATTTCGGTTATCTTTGGAAAATACGTAGAAAATGTAAAGTATGATTTTATAACTTAATAGAGATAAGAGAGAGAAAGAGGATAACAAAGAGAACACATTTCACAAAGTAATTATTTTAGAAGCAAAAGGGACACCTTTTCGCAACGAGCGTCGTATAGTTACGCAACTTCGGTATTAACTGCCGGCCAATAAGCTGCAGCACAAATTGCGCTCGCTTGTGGCGACTGAGGAAGCTCGGAAACTTCCAATGCGTTCGCGCACGTGTGTATTTTGCAATAAATAGACGCATTGCGCTAACAATAAGTTACGTACGTAATTACGTACATAACTTACGCGAGGAGGCGCGCACTAACGTCCGCACTGTGGTACGTTGACCTAACGACGGGACAAGGTACCGGTGCGGCCGCTATCTTATTTCCGTTGTCTCAGCTGTCGCCAGTCTTCCGGTCGGGTGCATCTCGCATTCGCCGAAAGAGACAATTGGGTGAAAATAATTACTTGCCGCGCTGTTTCCGAACTGGAATCGCTTGTGCATTTATATTGATAGTTTGAATAAGGCATTTGATCCGTGAAGAGAGAGTGTGTTGTAAAATAATTACCGCAGAAATAATTATTCAGATCTTACAAATGTGATATAAAAACCATGTGGATTAGGTATAGGTATTTCATAAATTTAGGCACAATTGAGATTCTTTAGAAGAACAGTACCTTATTCAAGTATTAAATGATAATTTCATCTGTTATAATTGAAATGGAATATTAGTAATAGAGGAAAAGTCCTCTATTATAGCAAATCGTATAATAGAGAAAACTCCTCTATTATGGAAAAGGACTCTAATATGAGATAGTAGATTTTCAACGTTCAAATTCAATCACAAATTTCTTTTCGCAACGATTACACGATCTAACAATCAATTTTCCACTAAACAGATTTCACTCCAAGGGCAATAAATTCACGGTGAAACCAATGAAACCAAAAACAGATGATGCCCATTAATTTAGCAGAAACTCCGCTATTTCATATTAGGAGCCTACCTCATGATAGGGGACTCCTCTATTTCTAAAATTGCACATTAATTCTCTCCGCACGCAAAATATGATAATCCCAAAATAACTGTTTGAGTTTTATAAAATTTCACTTCCATGCGAGAGTTTACGAGAAATGAACGTAAATGTACAGAAAAAAATACTGTCATCTAGATCGACGAAACATTTTCGCAAAAATATCCTCGGCAAAGCCTGCTAACGGATTATTCAGCATTACCAGCTGCTAAACTCGGGTCTACCGGATCGGTCGCTCGATCGGTCGGCGATCTCTCGGCACTTCGTGGTCCAGGATCGATGTTTCGAATCCCTCCCCGCGGAATTCCGGAATCTTTGATCCGCGCCGCACTTCGAGGGTACATTGGAGTACATTGGACGTGTTGGAATGAGTAATTCGTGGTTCGGCGGAGTTTGACAGTTCGCTAAAAAGCTCTCTGCGCCCGCAGGAAGTGAGTTGACAGTCAGGAGAATGCGTGTACGCGCACATTCTGCGCCGCTGGTGTAGCCGCGGACAATGGTGTTCATTAATGACGCTTGAAACTCCGTGGGTATTGTCGTAAAATTAAAATTCGAATGGAACGTCTCCCTTTGTAATTATTTCTTAACACCAACGTCTTCTCGTTTGTCTCTCACGTCCTTAACATTGTGTTCCCCGAGTGGTAAACCGGTGACTAAAATCATTGTACACCAATGTCTATTAATGGCCGGTGGGCATTACTTCATTTTATTATCTTATTTATCTTATTTTATCTTTGTAATGCCCCAGCAAGGCCTAATGCCCAAACTAATACCCAAAAAATGCCTAGTAATAGCGCAAATCTGTACACCACAATGCCCTCAGCGGTTTACCCCTCGGTTTTCTCTCTTGCCGATCTTCCGATTCTTAAAATTATTTCTTCTACGCGATAGAGCATTTAGATTTATTTAAACCCTAGCGGAAACAATTTCTATAAACAACTACAAAAATTGACTTAATAGAAATTTGTAGAAATTTTTATATCTTCGTTGAAACATTAATTTTTTTGAAAAAATATCTACGAAATACCATAAATTATAATGTTCTCAAATCAAGAAATTATTGCAAGTAGTATTTCATGAAAATGTACAATTTTGTAAAAATTAGTACAAAATTTTACTAGTTTAAAAAATTTGAGAAACAACGAAATCTTAAATAATTAAAACATCTGCTTACTTGTAGAATATTATAAAAATTAACAAAAGTGTTCTAATTCTAGCATTTTCATGTTGATTTTTATAACACTTTTTAAATTTACGTAGAATTTCTTAGATTCTGGCAGTTATATTTTATAGTTTTGTAGAATTTTGTAGAATTACTTCCGGCAGGGAATCAGCGATACTTAATTGACATGGTGATGCGGATATTATTTTGGCGACGTAATGATGCGTCGACCACGAATAAGTATCTGGTCGTACAATAGAAGAGAATCCATTTGGTCTTGTAGAGTGACGAAACGTAGGCATGCAAAAGTGAATCATTAGAAACCCCATTAATGGACGGGGTTGCAACGGGATGCGACGTGTTTCGCGTTTCCGGAAGCGTTAGATGCGTGCATGCACGCCGGTTAGACGTGAGGACGTCACCCGACCGGGGCCGTGCGGAAATCCCGAGAATATTTGAGCAGCGAATGTCTAAGCAGCGTCGGATATCAGACCGTCTGATACCTCGTGCTCTGACAGCGGCGCGGCGGCGGGTCGTCGACGCGTGTGAAGTTAGTCGGTGTGACAATGATAGCGAGAAACTCGGCGGAAAATTACACGCGTTTTCCGTCGCGCGGACGGGGGAATAATTACACATCGGCCGGAAATGCAAGTTTCATGTTTTCGAAATATAAATTTTGATTAGAAATCCCGTAATGTCGTGAGCTTATAAATGTATACCGCGCAGCGTAGTTCACGAAATATTCATCGGTGGCGGCGGCGAGGCTAATAAAGTTGGGAAAGCCGTTGTGAATTCGTATACTGATAAATTTTATAAAAACTACTCTCCGCCCCAACGCAAGAGAGCCTAGCGTAATTTCATATACCCGCGCGACTTCCTAAAAATAAAACGCCGCGATTTCACTTCACGTCTAAATTGTGGAGGGGGTTAAATTTAAGCGCATTTGAAAGCGAGACGCTGTCGTCTTCCCGTCAACTCGTACTTTATCTATTACTTCGTCGGAGGATTCCATTACAAAGACGTTCATGCAAGACTGAAACGTAAACGCATTGTAAAATATGAATTACTCGGCTGCCGCTTAAGGGCCGTTTACAGGCTATATTTGCCCGTAGAAGGTATAACTGGGACGTGCACAAT